ATTATTCGTTCTCTTCCTCTTTCCAAGTCCGAGCTCTGGTCCCCCGCAGAAGGGAGCTCGTGTCCGTGGGGGTTTGGGGCAATTCCTGCGCTTCTTTTCCCCAAACACTAAAGTCAGCGCTCGGAGCGTTCCCAAGGACTGGGGATGCTTTGTGTCAGAGCTTGGACCAAGTGATAGCATCATCTTTGGCGGTACGCTGTTTGATTGTGTAATTAAATTTAGTATAATCTACTTGTGACCGACTATAAATCTAGCTGGGCTGCAGGAGGCTTGGAGAATAACGGTTGTTTAGGGCTTTGCTTAGTTTGGGATGCTTTTCTCAGCCATGTCGCTGCTCCGTCACTTGTATACATTCCTAATGAGCTGAATTCACCAGCACATACAGAAATGGTTCGGTGAACCGTAACTGCATGAAGAAAAAGTGGTAGAAGTGGTATTTGTTTTCAATTCACGATGCGAGCCTGGTCTAAAACCTCAGCGAGGAAATGGTGTTTTGTGCATTTTTTTCTGGTTTTTACAGACGCGTTTCTAGGTATGGAGCTCTCTTAGACTTTAGCAGTCCACTTCAGTATAGTAACCATCAGTTTTCCTTTCAGTTACAAAAGACATTTAAAATTGTGTTTAGAAACATGACAGATAATGAGGCTCAGTTGTCTCTTACACAAACACCTCGCGTGGCTGTTTGCTCTCTGCTAATGTTTTTAAGAACAGCAGCTGAAAGACTGAAACTTAGTCCCCAAAGGAGGTAAAAAGTTTATAATCTAGCGCAATACTGCTTCTGAAGTGTGCACAAATAGGCATAGAGATTAAATAAGGAAGTTTATCGGATGAGCAAACGATGGGCCGAGAGGTTTACCAACATCCCTTGGTTCTCCCTTGGGCAGGACAGCTAAACTGGCAGAAGGTGGTGGCAGGGAGGTAACGGTGCCTTCTGCAGCCGTGCATCACCGATGCCGTCTCGAAAGGCAGACGGGAACCTGACCCAAAATCTGCCGTTGGGAGATGCAGGTTCTGCCTGTGCTGCCCAGACCCCCCAGTGCTCCTCTGCGTTTCTCCATCTGCGGTCTCTTCCCCTCTCCGAGCGTTACATCATGTTACTGCTTTTAGGCAAAACATCTCTGTTTAGCCACTGGGCCGGCCACGCAGCCTGGTTTGTCCCACTGTCTGCTCCTTCTTCGAACGGATCTTAACTGCCTGGAGGTGCAGGTGGATGAAGAAAACCTCAATGTGCAAAAGAGACCATTCCAGCCTCTTATTCTCAAACATCTTGGTCATGGTGGTGAGGGTTTTTTGCCTTTTTTTTTTTTTTTTTTTTAATGTCTGAGAAAGAACTGATATATGATGCCTTGGTGAGCACAGAGATTTTATCTGTCTGAGTTTTCATGAGATAATTGAGCCAGTGATCTCAGTGTGCTTTTACAGTGCATAGCACAGTGGGGTTTGCTCGGCAGGTCTGCTCGCTAGGGGTCAACCCAGCCATAAAAGTAAGGGTACTAAGAGCTTCCTCACCTGCGCCAGATTATCTTGACAGATAAAAACAAGGAATGGGGATCACACAGCTTTTTTCAGGGAATGTTGCACTACCTTCCGCTCCTGAGCAACTGGTTAAAATCAGACCAATGTTACCGCAAACTTAATTTTAGCCCTATCTTAGAGATTTTAAAATGTTATTGGGGTGTTGCTCTTTTCATAACTTGAAATTCAAGTTTGAAGCGAAGACCTCAGGCAAGCAAGGATGCTGGTGGTGTGGGATGAAGGCTTGGATCTCTCAGCATCTCCTAGGGGACCCAGGGCTCGGGCTACTCTGCACCGGGGCAGCAGCACCGTGTTGCTGGCTGGTCCTCGCAGAGGAGGGGTGGTGGCTGGAGGCACCAGAAGCTTGCAGTGATGTTTGGTGATGGTCAGACCTGCTCTGGGCTTTCCATCGTGTGTGTGTGTAAGGAGCCCGGACTCATCCAAGCTGGGGCCGAGGTCTGGATTCTGCCAACACCAGAACCAGGCTGCCGAGAGGTGACATCTGTGGGGCAGGGAGGGGACACAGCTGCAGACTCGCTGCATTTCTCCGATCAGCAGGTTATTTGCAATGAGTGTTGCTAGGTAAGCTTCATTTACACAAGCTGAAGTAGATCATCACTTACGGTTCACGATGTACAGCTTCTGACAGAGCTGGGTTAGAGTCTTGGCTGCCTCTTCTGGCCAAAGACCTCTGTGCAGTGGCACTCGCACACCCTGACGCGTCCACAGAGAGCCCAAGGGGAAAAAAAATTCTCTCTTCTGTCAGGAACAGGCTCCCCAGGGAGGTGGTGGACTCACCATTCCTGGAGGTGTTCAAAAAATATTTAGATGTGGCACTTCAAGACATGGTTTAGTGGATTTAGCAGGCATGGTGGCATCGGGTATACGGTTGGACTTGATCTTTGAGGTCTCTTCCAACCATAATGATTCTATGGTTCTAGGTTTTGCCTTCTCTCCCATCTGGGCAACTTCGCTGGTATTTGTTGAGCTTTAATGTATTTGGTGCATTGCAGATAACCAAAGGGTTAGTTTAGGGTACAAACTGCCAACGAGCTGAAACTTGACTGAAACCTGGAAGCCTTGAGCATTCCAGAGTGGTTCTGAATTCCCAGTAAATCCTGGAGAGAGACAGAGACTAATGCTGCCAGACTATTTTTATGGATGAGAATACATACCATTTAACATCAGTTTTGAGCACGTACATGGTGCTAGTTCCCATAACCGATCCTGTCCCAGCTGTTGATTTCATCATGGTTTTTCTTAAGTCCTGTTACTCCAGCCTGCAGTTCTGATCATCGGGGCTTTTCATGGCCTCAGACTGCAAGTCAGATTCTGCGTTTGAACCATTAGAAACTGAAAATGAATGGGGAAAATATGTAAGTGTATATTTTTCTCTCGGGGGACAATCCAAATGACAAGTGTCATGTCTTACTGCACTCGAATACCGAAAGGAAACAATAAAATGTCACGAAAGACTGCCTGAGTGGATCTGAAAACCCTCCCTGGCTATAGGGTCTGACAGCTATGGAGAGCCCCAGACCTACGGATGTAAATCAAAGCAATGTGCAAAAACAAATCCAAGAAGAAACCCATTGCTGGGGAGTGACCTTGACAGTAGAGATGTCTCCAGACCAAGAGGTTTGTTCTCCTCGACGTGAGCCTCCCTGCAGCCTCCCCCTCTGCCTGCCGGGTGTTGCAGCGAGACCTCGGTCCAGGCAACACCGGGGAAACTGGAGCCCTGCAGCATCCTCTCCACTACAGCCATCCTTCCTCTTTGTCACATATAATAGGCGATAGCTTCTCCAAAGCTAGTAATTATGCATATTTATTAACAAAGCAAGTTTAAAAAATGGTGTTACTTGTGAGCAGAGGAGAGCAATGCAGAACTTGGGGAGCTGAGAAATGTCTGGTCAAGCACTGAGCAGCCTCTGGCTTGGAATCATCTTCTACCTTGAGTGCGAAGGATTTGGAGGGTTTTAAATGACATTTTTAAAAACAGTTTTCCTTTACTGTTTCAGAAACCTTCTTGCGGGCTTTCTCCTGCAGTGACCTGTCCTTACGCAGGCAGGCGTGCGGGGGGGGGCACAGGGAGGCAGCGTTTGCCAGGAGATACGGAGAGGAAAGACTGAACAGTCATTAAGGACCAGATCTGGTCTTTATATTTTAAATTGCATAGCGTTATTGCCACCTTCGTTATCCCTCTCTGCTGTTTTAATGAGTAGCTACCTTAGTTTTGGAGGAGTTTACAGGTTTTTGGTAATTCAGTGGAAGAAGGTTGCCGTCAGTACTGAGGACTTACGGAAATGTGGCTCTCATCTGTACCTCACCAGTTGTTGGCACCGGGTTAAGGAAGGTGGCTGCAGTGGGTAGTTATAACACGGCTCTGCACAGCTCCGTGCCCCTTCCTAGCTGTTCTCTCCTGTACGAGAGAGATGATGGGGTTTTCCTCCTATTTAATAATGGCATTTTATTTTCGTGTGCTGCTTTACATATCTCACCTGAGCTTTTCATCCTCAGGCGTGACATCCATCGCCAAGCAGAATCGGTGCCTCGGCCAGCCAACATGACGTCACCATTCGATAACTTGTCATGCCATCACTCCATCGATGACTTCCGAAACAGAGTCTACTCCACGCTCTACTCCATGATCAGCATCATGGGCTTTGTCGGCAACGGTGTTGTGCTGTACATACTCATAAAAACATACCGGCAGAAGACGGCCTTCCAGGTGTACATGCTGAACCTTGCCGTGTCCGACTTTCTCTGCGTGTGCACCCTGCCCCTGCGTGTCATCTACTACGTCCACAAAGGGAACTGGTTCTTCAGTGACTTCCTATGCAGGATCAGTTCGTACGCGTTGTACGTCAACCTGTACTGCAGCATTTTTTTCATGACTGCAATGAGCTTCTTCCGTTGCATAGCCATCGTTTTTCCAGTCCAGAACATCAACTTGGTAACGGAGAAGAAGGCTAAATTTGTCTGTGTTGGCATCTGGATTTTTGTTACCCTGACAAGTGCTCCCTTCCTGGGAAATGGGACGTACCAACATGGCAACAAGACCAAGTGCTTTGAACCCCCGGAAGACTCTCAGAAGACAAACCTGGTCGTGATCCTGGATTTTATTGCCCTGTTTCTGGGTTTCATTTTTCCCTTTATTGTCATAACTATCTGCTACACCATGATCATAAGGACCTTACTGAAAAATTCCTTGAAGAAGAACCAGGCTAACCGCAAGAAGGCAGTCTGGATGATCATCATCGTGACGGCCACCTTCCTGGTGAGCTTCACCCCGTACCACATTCTGCGTACGGTCCACCTCCATGTGCTGCGGCTGAAGAATACCAGCTGTGAGGATGCCATATACCTCCAGAAATCGGTCGTGGTAACGCTCCCCTTGGCAGCTGCCAACTGCTGCTTTGATCCGCTTCTTTATTTCTTCTCAGGGGGCAACTTTCGGAAGAGACTTACCACTCTTAGGAAGGCTTCTTCCTCCAGCTTAACGCAAGCCTTCAGGAAAAAGTTCTCCATAAAAGAGAAAGATGAGGAACCCTTTGGAGAAAGCCATAGGGAGAATGAAAAGGAAGCCGTGACCCTTTCATAAGGTGACTAGGCCTTTCTCTAAGATCTCAGGCGAACAACGGAGATCTCAGAACTCTTCCCAAAGACCTGACGGAGGCTCGCAAGCCTTTGCCACAATTAGATGTATAATAATAATAATGGTGGACGGTCCATGACTTCTGGTACTTGGTGGTACAGCCGCTGCCAGGGATGGCCAGTCCCTTCCCCAGGAGCACTGCTTGGACACGCACAGCCACTTAGACGGAGGAGCCACTGCCAGCCAGCGCCAGAAAACTGTTGATCTGATGAGAAACTCGCACAAACAAACTCTTCAAAGCCTGTACCGGGGCTTTTGTTTCACTTCACAACTCTACCGAGGGTGTTGATTCTCCGACTCAGTGGGAAATGTAAACACGAGGTTCGCTGTACGCGGTGCTCGGGGAGCTGCTGACAAATAAAGAGGGCAGAGCTTTCACCGAATCTTCAAACGGCCCCTGAGTTACTTACACGGCAGAGGCCAGGATAATTCCTGCTCTGCTCCCAGCTGCTTCTGTTTCGGGTTTCACTTTTCAAGATAATTACGTGTGTAAGACTTGCAGGGTTGGTGCCTGGGTCTGCAAATCCAGGGACTGGGGCTTGAGCCCCTCTCCCACCCGGCACGAGCAGCTCTCTGGGCATGCTTTTGTGGGCAGCAGATCTGCCCGCATTCGCTGAATTTCTAGAAAAATCTTCTCTGCGGGAGCAGTTTTGAAATTGCAGTGTGCATTTGAAACTTATCTCAGTGGGACTGGTCCTGTAAGTGATGGCTGCAGGATCCAGATTATCGCTCCAGTTCTTCAGGAGATTTTACCTAAAATAGAGCTCTGGGTGCTCAGTATCCAGTGCAGGATCAGGCCTGCCTTTCTGAACTAGTGACCAAGCTTTTTAAAAAGAAGAAGAAAAAAAAAAAAAAAAGCAGAAGTAATTTTTTAAAATTACTATATAAGATATTTGATCCTGGTCGAGAGTGTTCACCTTGCTCACACCTTGCAGAAAAGAAGCAACCCAAGGCCCTTGGAAAGTTCTCTAGGAAGACCTGGAGATCAAGAGCCCGAGTCCAGATGAGACGTGACTGAATCTTATTTTGAGTAGAGTATGGGGAAAAAAACAGATTGGGCTATGTTTCCTATGTAAAGAAAACTCCAAAATATTGGACAGAAGGAAACATTCCTGTGCTTTTCCAGTGAACCCATGGAAAAGTAGCACTGCCTGCCTTTTGTTGGAGCAAAGCCTGAGATGAGTGATACACCAAGACAGAAATAGAAATCCTTGTAGGATGAAGACTTTTAGCTGGAAAAGTGGTTGATAAATGAACAGCAGCAAGTATGTTTTGATACGGTGTTGATGAAGTTACTTGACGCTATAAACAAAGAAAACAGTTTTAATACTATAGGATAAAAGAGAGTAAAAGGAGTTTGGCATCTGAGAAATTACCTTTACAGATAGACAGAGGAGTGTCAGTTCACTCTTTACCCCACAGTCTGCATGTCCCTGGCTCAGCAAAAGGCACTTTAAAAAAAGCAAATTCACCTGCAGAACAATTTGTGGATGTAAATTTTCAACAAGATCTGAAACCCCTCTAGGAAATGTTAAGGATCTGTAAAGTGGAAGAGGGCTGGAAGCTGCCCGGGCAGAGGAATGTCCCAGTTCCCCCTAAACCCGCAGCAGGGCAGAGCTGCGGCTGCGGTCAGAAAGTGTCTGTAAGGGTTGGCTGCAGCTCCCTTTCAGGGGTTGGCATCGGGTGTTGGAGCGTTGTCTCCAAGCATTAAAGGCGCTGTGCGACTGTAAATAGAAATCATCATGGAACACGGAGTTTCAGAATATGTAGAAATAACAGGCACATTCCCACATTTAAAAATATTTTACAGTAAAATATATATATATATAAAACAGAGCATTTTTATTGTACCAGAGGTGTTTTTTCCTTGTCCTTTATTTGACATTTGTTATGGCAGGAGAAATAGCAGTGGTTTTTATGCAATAGGGAAGACTATTTAAAAAAAGATTGCCGAAGATTAAATTAAAATATTGCAAGTTAAATTTTAACGATTACTGTTTTCTCTGTCTGTCTTTAAAGTCTCTGCATACAGATTCTTCCTCCTTCCAATACATTTTTATGTATACACAGCACTAGAGTGTAATATCTGTGTAATAATCATCCATAATGATATATTAAAAACTTAATGAAAGCAGCCCAGGAGTTGCTGGGGGCAGTCCCTGGAGCGGGCTGCTGGGGGCAGCCCCTGGAGCGGGCTGAGATGTTGGGGGGCTTGGTGGCCCAGCCTTGGAGCTGGAGTTTGGTCCAGCCAAACTGGCCTTTGCTGTACCCCGACTCTGCTGGGCTCCGGGCCCCGCCTGGGTCTGACGGTGTGGGGACCTGTCGGAGCCACTTCTGACGGGCCTGGGGCCTCGGTAGGTCTTGCAGAGGGGGAGCACCCCAACAAATAGCAGCTGGGACCACGACAAAGTTGTATTTGCGGACAGAAAATGCTTGCGAGAGGCTTGGAGGGAAGTGATGCTTTTGGTGAGGACGCTGTATTTGGGTGTCTTGTGCGGTCGCATATCGCACACAGGTTCCTGCACGGAAAAGTCCGCTGAGAATGACGTTTTCTACTTTAGCTTTTCCCCG